AATTTCTCGCCAAACAACTACAGCCCTATGCAGAATCCATCAACTCACATGTAAGAAACTCATTCCAGTTCATCGAGATCATAAAGAAACAAAACTTACAACCCAGCGACCTACTAGTTAGCTTCGATGTCATATCCCTCTTCACCCAAGTGCCAATAAAAGAAGCCTTGACAGCCATCCAAAACAAATACAACCCCCCTCAGCACATCCTAGATCTGACCAACCACTGTCTATCCAATACATACTTCACCTACAACGGACAAAAATACAAACAAATAGAAGGAGCACCCATGGGATCACCCCTCTCACCTGTCATCGCAAACCTCTACATGGAACACTTTGAAACACAAGCTCTAGAAAAATATGATCACAAACCCAAACTCTGGCTCAGATACGTAGATGACACCTTCATAATCTGGCCACACGGGAAAGAAAAACTGAACAACTTCCTCACACACCTCAACAGCCTACACCCCAAAATACAATTCACCATGGAAACAGAAGCTAACAATCAACTTCCCTTCCTAGATGTCTTGGTATACAAAAAACCCAATGGCTCCCTAGGACACACCATCTACCAGAAGAAAACACATACAAACCGCTATCTACATGCACTCTCACACCACCACCCAGCACAGATCAATTCCGTAGCTGAGACACTCATCTCCAGAACAAAATGCTTAGCTGATGAACAACACCTAAAAACCGAACTAAACACTCTCACCAACGTACTAACAGCCAATGGATTCCAAAGAAAGAAGATTACCCACCTAATCCAAAAAGAAACCCCAACCAAAATCCAAGACAGAGAACAAGAGAACGGCAAAGCCCTCCTCCCATATATAAAAGGCACTACAGACAAAATCAGCAAGATCCTCCAAAAACACAACATTAAAACAGCATTCTGCACAAACAGAAAAATATCCACCATCCTAAGAAACCCTAAAGACAAAATCGAGTTAGAAAACCAAGGAGTATACGAAATCCCTTGCACCGCCTGCCCCACCACATACATTGGACAAACTAACAGGAGAATAAGTGCACGCGTTGAAGAACATAAGAACTCGATCAAAAAAGAAGAACCGACCTCTTTCCTGGTCCAGCACCTCAAAGCCACAGGACATGAGATTGACTTTAAAAATACCAGAACTATCGCCAAAACCGAACACTTCAACAACAGAATAATCAGAGAAGCCATAGAGATAGAAAAACGCCCACACAGCATGAATAAAAGAGATGACACCTCCCGCTTACCAGCCATTTGGAAACCCGCCCTCATGAACAGACGAGTACCTAACATGATGAATGACACCAGACCCACACCCACGAGGGCCACACAAGATGTCACCACCACACTTCCACGTAAAAAGCAGACTCACACCCACACAGAAGATGAGACACGACCACAGACCAGAAGCCGCACTGCAGCTGCATCACTACCCACTTCAACCCCCCCTGAGCCATACATGAAGCGAACTGACCCCCACCATGAAGATGCAGCACGACCACAAACTCGAAGCCAAACAGCAAGATCACAGCTCACCAGCTCAAATCCCCCAGTAACTAAGACCAACCTGAGCACAGCCAAGCCCCCACCTGAGCGGAGCACACCTCCAGCCAATCAGAACATGGCCAACCCCCCGGCCAATCAGAACACAGCCAAACCCCCAACCAATGAGAACACACCCCCGCCCAATCAGAACACAGCCAAGCCCCCGGCCAGTCGAGTCACACCCCCACTGGCAGTTGGAAGGAAGGAGCAGCTGCGGGCTCACATCACTCTGAGAAGCACAGAGCTGAAGACAGAAGCCTGAAGATGATGAATGAGACTTCATCGAAACGTTGCCTAGATACTTCCAATCTTACGCGGGAGAAAACCCGAATAACCAAAGATCCACATACAAATACCCGCGAGAACCTCAGAAAATATATATATATATATATATATATATATATATATATATATTTCCTATTCCTTCATATGGCAAAAGCAAAATTAGAATTTAAATTGAGCCTAAAGTACAGTTGGTGGGATTTAAATGTAGATGTTGTGAATTTTAAAGCATACTATTGAGCGTGAAAATTAAATGTAGCCAGCGTACGACTAAACAATCAATCCACAAGACTAGAAGTCAAAAAAGCTTTGTAAATAGTAATCTGTTTGATAGCCGCATTAAATAGCATTCTCTATGCAGTTTACTGCTTTTCAGAACATTTTCTGCAGCTGCTAAAGCATGCTTTTCTTTTTAAAAATGTCAGGAGAAATAGTTCTGCAAACACTGGACTTGAACTGTTCATCTGTTGGCAGCATAAATGAAATCACAAGCAGATTTGTACAGATTAGCTATAAAGGAGTAATTTATCTTGTAAGGATTTTGTGATATTTTGTTCTTTTACAATGTGTAAACATCTTTCTTTTGTGGGGAAGAAAGGGTTGTTTAGAATACTACTTCTATTTTGCTCTTGGGGAAGAATCAGTAATGTGGAAGGCTTACATAATGTAATAATCAGGAAGCCTGAGAAGAATGTGACTGTTTTTCTCCAGTGAGAGCGACATCAAACTACTGGCTCCATTTAAACAGAACTAAACTCATTCTCTGCTAGTGAATAAAATGTAATGACATTTTCTGAACTAATCCATGACCTCCTGTAATTTCAGATGGTTGAAACTGTTATTCATAGAATGATGACATACTTCATTGCTTGGGAAATCAGCTGGTAAATGGAAATTATAGAGGTTAGTTCTAAATTCCAACACAGATATTTAAAATTCTACACTTCCAGATTCTTAGATTTGATGCTGAGAAAGAATTTAGAGTCTTCAGGGGTTGTTGCTAGGCCTGAGCTCCTTAAGAGCTCCTTAATTGTGCCAATTATGCCAATCATGTAAAGAAATATACTGAAAAGCAAACATTTGGATTATACTCTACTATCCTATTTTGAGATGTTTTATTTGCAGCTAGATGCATCATGCCAGAAATTTATTTGGAATTGTACTTGTTCAGGAACTAGTACTTGTCTATAGACTGTTAGAATTAAATATAAATATAAATAATACAGCTATGGTTGGTTATATAGAGTATCTTCTTGTAATTTATTTCAGTACATTTGCCTATCAGTGTGAACTAATGTTGTGGAATTCCTATTGTAATGTAATGTATTGTAATGTTACATTATAATGGAATAAATAATTCTTTCCAAACCACATTTACCATAATCATTGCTATTTCTCTGCTGCAGACATTATTATATTTTACAGTTTTTATTTCCTGCCAGCAATTTTAAAGCAACACGTCTTTTCAACAAGGCTGCTTTTCTGGTTATATGCCTTCTCTTGATCTGTTTACTTATGGTGCTTGTGGCTGCCTTTCTTTTTACTGTAAATACACCAGATCACTCCCAACATTTTCCTGTGGTCCCTTTTTATGAATTTGATGAAATGCACTTCTGCATTTCCAAAACCTATTCATGTTTTTTATTGGAAAGAGCAGTTTGTAGTAATCCCACACATGCCTTCTGCTTTGCAGTGTCTTTTAGATGCACGTCTAGATTGACAGCTCTCAATCATTTGGATCACTTTTTAGCTTACCGATATAGGCGTTTCTCTGACACAATCCATACATTCCATTACCAGCTTTGAGGCTGAAGTCTGTTCACTTCTTCCTAAGCATGACATATGTGAATCTCAAAAAACTATTATCTCATTACTTTGCCTTAAAGCATGGCATGTTTTGGCTGTAGTAATGTGAGTTTATTGTTGTTGTTGTTAGCTGCAAAGTCGTGTCTGACCCGTTGCGACCCCATGGACAACGTTCCTCCAGGCCTTCGTGTCCTCTACCATCCCCCAGAATCCATTTAAGCTCACGCCGACTGCTTCAGTGACTCCATCCAGCCACCTCATTCTGCCATCCCCTTCTTCTTTTTCCCTCAATCATTCCCAGTATTAGGCTCTTCTCCAGTGAGTCCTTCATTCTCATTAGGTGGCCAAAGTACAGGTTTATAGTTACATCATATTTTGTCATTTAAAAGTATTGTTATATATCATTCAACTGATTTATGTGATTGTTGCATCAGTGGAGGGCAGGAGACCAACAGGACCATCTTTTAAATGACTCCCTTAACCTGAGACCAGCAGAGAGAATAGGGCAATCTGTTTTCTGGCTCTGCCTCCAAACGTCAACCCATACAGATGAGATCAAGACATCACACAAATAGAGACCACATCTGTGCAAGAATGACTCACATAGCAATATGTATATACAATTTGTCTTCTATTAAATCTGTCTATGAAGCCTGACACTAACTAGTAGCTGCTATCCATTGGTGTATACTCCAATTGGCAATAGTTTTCAAAGAGTTCATGAATCAGTGTAAAACTGTCCGAAATGTTTCACTTTTCACATAGTGGAAACTGAATCTGAGGTCTTGAGTTCAGGATTACATGGGTTCTACTATGGGAGAGAAAAATTAGCACCTGATTAAGCCTGGGAAATTTCTGAAAATGTGAAACTAGTTTGAGAAGACATTAAACTAAAAGCAATGATGTAATTTCTGTCAAATTGTCTTAGGTTGGCACTTAAATCTTTCTTGGGCCTTATGCTACTAGTATCTGATCTCTTTTTCCTGGTAGGAGTAAGATCAGTAAACATAATAACAGAAGGTTTCTAAAGCTCATTTTTGGTCCCACCTTTGTTCTGTAAAGCATTCCCATGTAACAGTGGTAGGAGAATTATAGGAAAACTATAACCACAAAGAATATCTGTCTTATTACCCAATTTGAGAATGTCACAGCACCATCATTGTTTTGCTTTATTTTATTCCATTCATCTTTTTTGCACCATTAGACTGCATGGATATACGTTAGATAATTTTGAATAGTTAAACTTCAGGTGAGTGTAAATCAATTGCAAGTGTTTTACATTTTAACTTTTTTTAACAATACAATGCATCTTAAAAAATGAAAGTCAATGTATGTAAAATATGAGAATAAAAATTGTTACCTGTTGCTTCCACCATTCCTTCTAGGATCACAACTATTTCTAATTCCTCTTTGGATAACTGAGTTTTGGAAATCTCCCAGAAAGGACTCTGTTGGTTTATTTCATGGCTGATGATCAGTGGTGAAACCAAAAACAGTCGATCGTCCCCAGTATAATAACCTACATTGATATCTGTTTGATTGAGAGGTATAAATTCCCCCTCCTTTGTCTGTTTCGATTTGATCAGCTTGGCTCGTATTGATGCTTCCACAATGTGTGAATTTCTGAGATCCCCAACTCGAAACATCAAACACAGCTTTCCATCCCGCATAGAAATTACAGCATTGGTAGAAAACACCAGAGTTTCTGCTCTCTTCTTGGGCTGTGATATTTTTACAAACATGCAGCCAACCATGAAAGCATTCACAATAGACCCTAAAACAGACTGGACTAAAAGCAGGATAATTCCTTCAGGACATTTGTCTGTGATAACCCGATAACCATACCCAATTGTAGTTTCTGTCTCTATAGAGAATAAAAAGGCTGAGACAAATCCATTGAGGTTACTAACGCACGGTGTCCATTTCTTATCTCCTATGTGTTCCATGTCTCCTCGAATGTAAGCAATTAGCCACCAGATGAATCCAAAGAACAACCAAGTCACAGTATAAACCAAGACAAATATCAAAAGGTTGAATCTCCACTTGAGGTCGACCAAGGTGGTGAAGATATCAGTCAAATAGCGATAAGTCTCTCTCACATTTCCATGGTGGACGTTGCATTTTCCATCTTTCCTAACATACCTCTGGATTTTTCTTTTGGCATCCTCTTTGCTTAAATGCTTTGGCAGATCTTCTCTGGCCTGTTTGGGCAACTTGGGTGGATGAATTGTAACAGGGCTTTCCACGTCCTGCTCCATTGAGTCTCCTTCCAGCACATTAGCTATTATTAAAAAAAAAAAAAAAGAGGAAATAAATAGGGATGGTGACAATGCAAATAAGATTTGCAAGATCAGTTACATGAAGCTTCTGAAATATTTTTGAACACCACTAGAAAATTAGTGGAACTTACCATTCGTTACTAATAGAAAGAACAGGTATTATCTGTATTATTTGAAATAATTTCTTACTTTTACTTTATATAAATAGGATGATTTAATGTTCATAAAAACTGTTTAAGTTGCAATTATATGCAAATTTTATTAAGCGGGAGTCTGGGTAGCATACAGAACTGTCTTTCCCAAATTGCTCAGAATTTTGAAATGGATTAACTTTATAAATGGCAATTAATTAAATGCCATCAAGATGACTTCTAAGCACCACACCACTCTGATCTTTTTGAAATAGCAACTGCCATTATTGTAACAAGATATTTTAGGAACTTAAAGGTCAGAAGAACAGAAGCAAAGATTGGAAGTCCTTTAACTATTAGAATGTTCAGAAGCAAAATGTAAGCTGATGATTTAAAACCAAAATCTATTGCATTTATATGCTGCCATATTTGATAAACTCTTATGCTAGCAGTAAGATAATAAAAAAAAGTTTCTTCCAACATATAAATAACAAGAAAAAAATAAAGGAAACAGTCGGTCCACTAAAGAGAGAAGACGGCAAGGAAGTAACAGGCAACAGAGAGAAAGCAGAACTGCTTAACTCATTCTTTGCATCCATCTTCACACAAAAAGAAACTATAGCTCAACCCACCAAAAACATAACTGTAAAAGACAGGCCAGAAATAAAAGTTAAAATAAGCAATCTTGATGAAAACAAATCACCAGGGCTTGATGGATTACACCCCAGAGTTTTAAAGGAGCTGGCAGAGGTCATCTCAGAACCACTGCACCATATCTTTCAAAAATCCTGGAGCACTGGGGAATTAGCAGAGGACTGGAAAAGAGCTGATGTGGTTCCCATCTTCAAAAAAGGGGAAAAAAACAGTACCCGGGAAGATAATAAAAAAGATAAGATAATAAAAAATAATTTAAAAAACAGATCTGCCAACATCTAGAAACAAGTAAAGTAATAACTAGCAGTCAGCACGGGTTTGTTAAAAACAGATCATGCCAAACCAATTTATTTCATTCTTCAACACAGTGACTAAATTAGTAGACCAGAAAAATACTGTGGACATAATATATTTAGATTTCAGCAAGGCATTCAATAAAGTAGACCACAACCTACTTCTTAGTAAGCTAGAAAAAAGTGGAATAGATAGCACCACCACTAGATGGACTTGCAACTGGCTGGCAAACTGTACTCAACGACTAGTCCTTAATGGGTCTAAGTCTACATGAGGGAAGTAAGCAGTGGGGTGCCACAAGGTTCCATCTTAGTCCCAGTACTCTTCAATATCTTCATTAACGACTTAAATGAGGGAATAGAAGGGGAACTTACCAAATTTGCAGATGATACTAAGCTGGCAGGAATAGCTAACACCCAAGAAGATCGGCCCAGATGGATCTTGACAGACTAAAACACTGGGCCATATCTAACAAAATGAAATTCAATGTAGAGAAAAGTAAAGTCCTACACTTAGGCAAGAAAAACCAAAGTACATACATAAAACGAACCAATCAGCTATAAATATTAAATAGTAATAGCCTTTGGTTGCTAAGCAAGACATTTGTTAAGTGAGTTTTGCCCCATTTTATGTTGTTGGCCACAGTTATTAAGTGAATCACCGCAGTTGATAAATTAGTAACCTGGTTGTTAACCTGGCTTCCCCATTGACTTTGCTTGTCAGAAAGTTGTAAAAGGTGATCATGTGACCCCAAGGCAATGCAACCATTATAAATATGTACCAGTTGCCAAGCATCCAAATTTTGGTCATGTAACCATGGGGTCTTCCAACTTTAAATAGAAAATATCTACAGTAAAAATCATCCATAGTGACCTAAAACAAATAACAAAATTATGAATGAAACTCCTGCTAGAAATTAAAGCAACAGTTTTGATCAAGATGACCATCAACCACCAAAGGCCTTCTGCGAATGCTTCATTTCATATTATAGATCAGTGTTGATATGCCAGCCTCTGTTCTTTTATTTCTAATTCTGGATGTTTTTCTTTTCAGAAAGATCAAGAAAAATGATTAACTACATACATATATCATATATACTCATCAGAGATAAGCCAGCCTTGAGTTTTTAACCGAAATATTATGAAAATGTTCTATCCACAAATAAGCCACTCCTAGAAAAAAGTCAGGTTTTAATATTCCCAGTTGGTTCATCTGTGAATAAAACCTGGATGATCAATTTTTCATGGTATTTTGATAAATAATTCAGGTCAGATTATCCATGAATAGGCTTATCCACAAGTATATATGTGATGTTCAGGTGCTTTAAAAGGTACTACCATATACAGTGGATAAGTCCATCCTTGGATAAGCCAAACACAATTTTTGAGTGCATTTTGGCACCTAAAATTCTTGATTATTCATGAGTATATACAGCATATGGATATTGCCACTTTCTTCATAAATACTTTCCTCATGGGCATTCGCACAATCATGCCTATTCAAAAATTCTAGGCCTGGAAGAAGGGGAAATATGCATATTGGTTGTGTTTTCTTCACTACAATGAATTCCATAGTCCCAAGCCTAATAATCACATGTGTTGATATTCAACACTTCTGGGTAACTTAATAATGCATTGAATAGATAGGAACATTCTCAATCAACTTTTGAGACTTTGAGATGATAATGATGATGATTTTGCATGGACAATCATGATTCATCACATAAGCAATTTTTGTGAAGTACAAAATAACTCTAATGTATATTTTGCAGCAAATTATTGTCAGGACAGAATGTGGATGTTTCCATTAGGAAACTCGCCGTATCGTGTTGCCGTCACATTCCCCCTACTTCATGGAGCTGGGGTGGGTGTGGCCTGCGCATGATGCATCTGGCCCATGGGCTGCCAGTTTGATACCCCTGCATTAGGACTATTCAAGTTTTAAAGGCATGTTTTAATGATATCTCAAGTGAAGCACACTTCAAAGTTGTCTTGTGCAAGGCACACCCTACCTTCTCCTTCTAAAGAATGAAATAAAGCTGCTATGTTGTGTTGTGTGGCTTCTGCAGCCTTCTCTCCATGAGCTACTGGAGTTGCCGGAGGAGATCTCTGACGTGATGCTGAGTGCTTCACTGAGATGAACAGTGTTACCTCAGGCAAACTTAGTAGCCTTGGAAAGCTTTGTTTCTGTGTGTGGTATACTGATCTGACAGATGCCTGAATGTTGTTATTCTTTTGTAACTGTATATTGTAATGCTAAGGTTAGCCTTGCTTCAAGTTCTATATAAAGAGACTTCCTCATTCTTCCAAAAAGATATGCTATAAATTTTCAGTTGCTCTCAGATTTTTTTCCAGCTGTTATACATAAACCTGCTTGGCAACAGATGTTTCACTCAAGTAGGGGATGTAAAACTTCAGTATGCAATGATTTGGATAGCATCAGTCAACACCTGAGTATTTCATGAGGGACTATTCAGCTGGGGCAGCTGCTTGTAGACTGTTACATGAAGCAAATCGTTTTATGTAAATCATATTTGGTGACACAACTTGGATTACTTTATATTGCACAATAAAATATGAAAACAAGGGAGCACCCTCTTGTCTCCAGATTATAAAATATTCAGGGGAAAATAGTGTAATAATCCTATTGTATAATATTTTATCATAGAAATCTTTTTACTACATTTCAGTTTAAGTAGCATTACTCCAGATTTATGTTAAGATAATTAGCCTTAAGAATTCTTAGTGAAATTTATATCCCACCTTTCTGCTAAGCTCTCACGGTAATATATACTGCCTTGTATACACTACACTTCCTCCTATTCCCCCTCCCCCAATTCTCTAAGACAATATAGGGTGCTCTGCAAAAGAGAGAGTGACTAGCCTGCAATCATACAGTGAAACTCTATGGCTAAGGGTAGACTAGAACATGGCTCTCCCTACTTCTAATAAAAGGGCTCCTCAAACTTGGCAACTTTAAGACTTGTGGACTTCAACTCTCAGAATTCTGGGAGTTGAAGCCCACAAGTCTTAAGGTTCCCAAGTTTGGAGACCTCTGTTCTAAAATAACACTTTAACTACTCTACTGTACTGTGGCTATTGCATATTAAACTAACAAAATTAACCTAAACAATCCTTAACACAAAACATAAATTATGTATGCTACTTATATTTTCTAGCAAAAACATATTTTAACAATAACACTCTGTGGTTCCTCATGTTCTGCTTGTTCTGCAATTCAGCCTAATACCACATTCATTCCATTGTAGAACAGATTATACCATCATGAAAGTTTCCTAATATTTAGTGAAAAATCTCCTTTCTTTCAGATTAAACACATTGTTTGGGTGATTCTTCAGAACAATTGAAAATAAATTTGCTTCATCTATGAGACAGTGTTTCTATAGTTGAAAGTGGTAATCATACCATTCATGCTTCAAGCTTAATTTATCTATCCTTCTCAAATTATTCTCACAGGATTTGGGCTGTTATAAATCTACTATTCACTTGAATTAAACCAATCAGACAGCCCTATTTCTAAGCATCTCATTTCAGCAAGCAATCAGAACATAATCAATATATTGGGGTTTTTTCTTTAGATTTAGACAATAATATAAAATTATATTAAATTCATACATAATGAATCCATGACATTTATATCAATTGATTGTCAAGGCAACTATTATGGCTTCACCTTTCAGTAGTTTATGTATTTACTTTAGAAGAAAGTGTCCCTATATATTTTACTTACTCATTTGAAGTTTTTGTTATTAATTTGTTGTTTAGCCAGTTAATAGTTGGAAGAAGTGGTTTTTTTAGGTACATGCCAACTTTATTACCTAACAGTGGATATACTTTATAATGGATTCACAATTGTAGATGTACAGAAGTTTGTCCATCACTTTGTGTGAAATTCACTTTTACGTGA